CTCGTGGAAACACTCGACCGGGCAAAAATCGGGAATGCTCCCTAAAAGACTTCACGGGGAAGGACTTGGAGAGATTCAAACAAGCAATTCACAAAGAGATCAACAACAACCTTGGGACTGGGGCCTACGAGATCCTGTCACCAACCGAATCCGCTCAGGTCCGAAGAAACAAACCCGACAAGATCATGAAGTCTCGCTATGTCTTCACGTGCAAGCCCATCGAGGACTTCGCCCTGGAGGATGCCAAGTCGTCCGACATCATCCTAGACTCCAACGTCAGTGAGGGTCCAACAAAAGCAAAATGTCGACATGTAATGATGGGGTTCAGTGAACCAGACCTTCTCAGCCTGGACACCAGTACCCCACAAGTTCATCGGGACTCGGTCGTGTTCGCCACACAGATCCTGGCATCTAAGGGTTGGCAACCAGGATATGCAGACTTCACCCAGGCATTTCATAGTGGAGATGCCATCAACAGAGAACTCTATGCAGAACTACCACGAGAAGGAATTCCTGGGGTGGAACCCAATCAGTTGATCAGATTGAAGAAGACCTGCTATGGGCTCACAGATGGTCCATCCGCCTGGTTCAAGCATATCGTGAAGTACCTCACCAAAGAACTGGGATATCGTCAGTCCATTGTTGACCCATGTCTCTTCTTCCTGGACCAGGAGAACATTGTGGAGAACCACGAGGAAGAGGACCTGAACTCCATCGAGGGCATCGTTGCTCTGGCTACAGATGATCTACTTCATGGAGGAACTCAACGACACATGGAACGGATGGAAACCCTCCGGAAGAGGTATACCCTGGGGAAATACACCTGGGGACAAGGAAGATTCGTCGGCAAGGACTTCACACCTCTTACCGACGGCTCTATCAGGATCGACCAGGAGTTCTACGTCAAGGCAAGAGTACAAGAAGTGCCCATCACCAAAGAACGAAAACGCAGAAAGTACTCCCAATGTACCCCGGTGGAGATTGAACAACTACGAGCACTACTGGGCACTTTGGCCTGGGTAGCCAAGGAGACGAGAGCTGACCTTGCAGGAAAGATAGCACTGGTGCAACAATCTTTTCCGAGACCTTTGATCCGGGACATTCTCATGGCCAACGTCATCGCCAAGGAAGCTCTGGACAATCCACAATTGGGCATCCGAGTGATGCCAATTCCTCTTGAACGACTCCACGCCGGAGTCGTCACAGATGCAGCTTGGGGAAATGCCAGAGAATTTGGACAATACCTCGAGGACTCCAAGACAGACTGGTGGGAGGAGTTACCAGACCGATGGATACGACACCATCAAATTCCTAGAGTCACGGGATTTCACCCGGCAGCTGCGCCAGGTGGACCGGATCTTCACGATCTACTACCTGATCGATACACTGAGATCAAGATCAATGACAACAAGAACGTCCTCCAGGACGAGTGGACATCTTCATCAAGTATAACCTCATTGGCACCTTCACCGTGGACGGGGTCGACCACCTTTAAGAAACAACCACAAGGACACCATCTAGAAGCAAAGCTGATCCATGGGGGCTACGAGCAGCTCTTGAAGTTGTACAGCCAAGGGGGAGAGATCACTTTCTTCTATGACCGAGACCTACCAGAGTCTCAATCCTTGCAGAATGTCACCCTGGCAGCTTGGAAAAGCTATCGCCTAAAAAGGCGAACGGTCAACACGCTCAGCTCCGAGACCCAGGCCTTGGTTCGAGGTCTAGGTTCAGTTCACTGGTATAGGGTCCTGATCCTTGAAGCCAAGGGATTGACCCTTTCAGCTCGTCAGTGGCAAACCGAGGTGGCACGCCTCCCCTTCATCTGCGTGACAGACTCCAAGTCATTATTTGACACCATCAACAAGGACACCAACCCGGCATCACAATGTGAGGACAAACGCACGTCCATCGACATCTCACTCATCAAGCAGGAGGTCCACGAGATGAACGGCCGAGTTCGGTGGGTGGATGGACGAACTATGTTAGCTGACTCCCTCACGAAAGACACCAGAGGTGACCTTCTTAGAGAAGTGATGTCCTCCGGAAAGTGGAGCATCTTGGAAGAAGGGGCCGCGCTACAGCGCAAGCTCGCAGAGCGAGGAGGTGGCCACGAGGTTTTCATGATTTTAAGCACCTTTTGACCAACATAATATGTGGTCGGTGCATTTCGAGAAGACCACCTTGGTCAAAAGCTGACGCCATAAACTTGGCTCAAGCCGAGCACGCAATGGTCAAAAGTGACCGCAGAAACCCCAGGTTCCAGCTACCACTGCGTTTGCAATTATATATATGTTTATATATTATATATATGTATATATATATATATTATATTATATTGTATTATATTATATCTTATTATATTATGTTATATTATATTATATTATGTTATATTATATACATATTATATATATATAATGCTGAACGCGTTCTTTTTTCCTGACAAAAAGGAGAAACTGTGTGAAACCTTGCCAGAAATAGAACGCGACACATTTCGATCAGTAGCCACATTTTCCACAAGTGTATATCGGTTAAGCATGCTCGAGTCCAATATGGGTGGGAAACATGTACATAGCACTGTTGCTGAGGATTTCTTGGAGCGCTCTCACATGTTCGACTTCAACTCATTGGGGGTACTCTAACATCTTGCTCGAGAGTTTTTGAAACAACTGTTGAGGTGTTCATCCTTTTTTGTGTCGGGAGAGCCACACCATCGGCCAAGCAGCCGAGGTCATTGATGGTCACCACACGCTCACTGGGCCTCGGATGAAAAAGCAGAATTTGAAGAGCCATGTACTGTAACATGATGTAACATGTATTTGGAACTAGTACATCTGTCTACCAAAACGCATTTTGGCAAGATGGTTCCGCAGTTGAGCACGGACCGGGCATGCGGACTCCTCACAATGGGATTTCTTGTATCAATAGTCATGTGCACATCATACTTATATAAAACACCCACTAAAAACGTACTGGTGCACATTTGCTCTTAGAAATTTTCGATGGGAGTTGATCTCCACATCTCCACATCCCAAATGGCTGTTGAATCTTTGGATGCTCTCTATAAAGCTCCCTATCCAGTTCAACCAGGGTCAAGGAGCCAAGGCAAAGCATCTTGAACGGCCCATCCACTTACTAGACCAAACCGTTCAATCTCAACCTCATGGGAGCAACTCCCAAAGACTTTGAGATCCTACAAACCACTCATTGGATATTCACAGGACGGAGGATTGTGGGTCTTGTGGACTTCTCGACCCCTCAGAGTCAGAGTCAGTGAAGCACTTCATGAGCACTTCTAAGACAAAAGGGATCCAACAAAGGTGGCAACGGCATCCCCCAAATGCTCATTCTTGGCCGGTCTTGTTTTTGCATTCTCTCAGCCCCCGAATCATTGTAACGGTAATAGCATCTTGAGACTAATCCAGACCCTTTCCACATTTGTTAAACACAACGATAACGTTGATCTGGTAGTGTTTTTGTAACGCATTTGTTTGTTTGTTTGTCATTGGATGATGCCTTTTATGGTCCAACTGAGTCGGTTCCAACTAAGCCCTCCAACGACCACGAGAGCGACCTCGGACAAGCCGATGAGCTCCGTTTCGAGTGCTGAGTGGTGGCTATCGGTGGCGGGGTGATTGGTGCTTTGAGACTTTGAGGCCTGAGAAAAGCTTGTCAATCTAGGGCAGCTATACACATCACACACACATATTGCACAGGTGCTTCCTTATGCACCAAGTGATTCCGGGTCACCTTCATGTAGAGAGAATGGATACATCTGAATACCTTCCCTACATCTACAATATGTGTTCCTTGGTGTTTCAACTGACGGAGTAGGCGGCAGTGGACAGTTTGTCAACAGTGTGATACCTTCTTGATCGTTCTTGATTTCCCACACAGTAGGATCGCATGAGATCCTCACATTGTAAAAGAAAGAACTTCGTCCTTCTGTCGACACAAATGGTAGATTAAACTCATGTACATCCTGGCACGGTGGAAGTATCAACAAAACAACGAGCTTGTTTACAAGGTGTATCATTTTCAACTTGATTCGACCCATATATTGTTTGCAGCGGATGGGGCGACCAATTGAACACGGTCAAGCGTGGCCAACCTCTCAGACTGAGACGTCCCTTATAGGGTCGTGGAGTTTGAATTCATCAATGTGTTCGCTCGATTCTATGGGCGGTCTCGACGTGTCTCAACATGGCCATAGCTACTGGCTATGACACATGACAATGCGTATCGAAGCAATTTGGTCACGAAATAAACAGGGCTTTGAGCTTTGAGGGAACGTGTGCCTGTAGAACCGAGGAGTCCAAAGGGTTCTCAGTTCACACCAAACAGAATTGCCCCATCAAACCAGCGCTTGGAAGCCAGAACAAGTCAAGTAACTCCTGTCACTCACTTGACTCTTGACTGTGATGGGACACCTCAACTTCCGAAATGTTTGATATAACATGCAGCTGAACAAACCAACCAACAACACAAACCACAAAAAACATCAAAAAACATGACACCCCTTGGAAAAACCGAAGTGAACCGCACTGAACCCGACCTTAGCTCGCTCAGTCGCTGACTCCCCACCACACCACTGCAGCTACTTCCGGCGAGGTCCCCGGCTCAGGCGAGGTGCAGCCCGAGGTGTAGCCCTCGCAGTATTTTTTCGGTCGAGGGAGGAAAACATTTGCCAAGGTCCAAAGGGTTAGCTAAGTTTATTTTTCTATGCGTTAGCATATGTTAGCATGTAGGTTTGACAAGACCTGAGAAGGAGTGACCAAACAGGCCACCGGGTTCATTCAAGACAAAATCCATAAAAATCCCATATGCACACCATGTACAGCTGGTGAACGGCACACTGGGCACGTGTCCAGCAACAATGTGTCAAGCACCCCATACACGGCATATCAATGCTTCTGGTACTCAGCAGCGCTTGGGGTTTCTTATGTTCTGTTTGCAATTCTTCCTTTCATCTCCTTTTGTCTTTTGTTCCCTGGCCGTGGAGGCGATGGAACCATCGGCAAGGTGGCCTGGCAGGATGGGTAGAGGCGTGGTCAGCGGCTTGGTACTTCCAAAAGGTGGGCTTTCGAGCTTGGGAATGGCCCTTCCTGAGACAGGCACCCAAAGCCTGCTAATTATTTGCCATGGCAAAGCGCCAACACAAGGACCTCTTTTGGAGCGGCTCGCCAAGACCATCATCTCACCAAATGAAAGGCACTAAGAAAGCTCGCTGAAGCTGTTCGTACCTCAGTGCGTTGGCATCGAAACGAATCACACAGGATATACACATATCTTTGGATCTCTCGGAAAAAAGTAGCGTGAGCCCAGAGAGTGTGCACCTAGAGTTTAGTCGCTCAAGACCTCTTCGGACTCACGTACCGTGGTGTCGCTGCTTGCGTTTGTTTGGATGTGCCCACAAACTCCTCACATACCGTCACATCTTTCCGAACCACGGCTTGAAGTATGGGGCTCCCACAGGATGGGACATCCACAAGGGACGCATGCTATCAGAATACATTTGTCACGATAGATCCGAGTGTCTCCTGTCCAAAGGTCTTCACATACCACTGATGCGAGGCCACGCTCCTGCGCCAAATCCACTTGTCGCATTGCCACAGAATAGTCTGAAATTGATCTCGGTCAAAAGATACAGGGATTACTTGAATGGAGCAAATAATTGGCTGGATGCGTTAATCAATGTGTAGTTGTTTGCACCCTCAGGAATTCACATTGAAGCAAAGGGCGAGCATTGGTAAAGGGACATAGTCTAGCTGCCTAGCTGCTACGTAGCTGCGTAGCTTGCACCTCGTCTGGCTCCTCGGAATGAGATTGGCGCAGGAGACCAAGAAGATGAAGAGGCCATTGGGCCCCCAGCTCATCAGGAAAAAACCCAGCCAGGTCCACAACCTCACTGTCATGGTCTTGATGAAGCGATGAACTCGACCAGAGCTGCTTACTTCATATCCAACAATCTTCTCGACTCGCACGAAACCTTTCTCGCGGCGGCTCTAGGGATCCCTGGTGCTTTGAGGGTGAAAGTAACGGACGGCGGTCGACCTTCATGCCATGTGCTCATGAAATTTCAACTCCACTGCTGCTTTGGGTTCTGCCCTCATGGTTCGAACAATGGATGCAAATCTTCTTAGAAAATGGCTTTCCATGGTTGAGCCCATTGCAATTCGGTCGAAGGTGGAAACATGCACCTGTGTTGGTGATCCAAATCTTCTCAGGAACTCGATTGGTTCCTCGGCTTCGGGCCTCCGGCTCGCGTCTCCTCCAGATTCAAAGTTCGCTCCATGCCGGGACTTGGCATGAATCTCTCAGGCGTTCTGCTCATTCTCCTTGTCATCGGAGTTGCCGTAGGCGAATTCAGCGAGGTAGGCATGGTCTCCATCGGTGGACTCATTGACTTCATCGCAACACGGCACAAGCAGGTGACCAGGTACTCCAAAGTACTCAGAAGGATGAAGGTGAGCAGGATGAAGAAAGGAAAGCTCCATGACTCTCCCCATGTGGTCTCTGGTGCCTCTGAGGTTGCTGCGTGAACTTGTGAGGTCAAGGCGGTCATCGCCAACAAAGTCCTTGTCACAGGTTTGGCCGTTAGGCCGAGCATAGCAAGCATCGCGGTCTTCTGCATTGAGACTTTTGATCGTCCCTCATAGGCTTCCTTCCAAAGGCTTGCGTCATCTTTGAACAAATCTTCTTCTTGTAGTTCATGAAGTACGGGCAAGCGGCGCATCAACGTTGGATGTTTGGTGACATTGCCAAACTCAACATAGCCGGTGCTGAGGAACTGGAAAAGCTTTGGCGGGTTCATGACCTTTGGAGTCAACATCAGAAACCTAATCCTGCCAGTCGCTCTTGCCTCCTTGAACGCAAGCACGTACAAGCGCTGAAGCTTGTCCTGAGGTACTGAACGTTCACCTGTAGCCAGCTCAAAGAAGTCGCGGCAGTCTGTTGCACTGTCTACAGGGAAAAGTGAGGATCCCTGCTCTTGATACTGCGTCAACGTCTGCAGTGAAGGATTGGGATCCGCAATCCATAGCTCAGTGAGGCGAACTGCCACCATGCTGCTGCTTTCAAGGCCTCCAATGGCCGACAATGTCTCAGCATGTGAGGTGCTGTAAGACACTCGTTTGGCTTTGCCTCCGTGGTTGAACAAGAGGTGGCCATAGTCAGACACTTTGGCGATGTCCTCGTCTGAACATGTGACGTCATCTTGGCGTAGGATCTCGTCAGGCAGCTCGGGCATGAGGAGGATCATCATGCCTTCCTGGGCATAGCTCTTTCCTTTGCTGGCCGAACTGGCATCGTGGATGCATTGGATGCGAAGGCCAACATCAGGAGGAAAATGTCGAAAATGAAGCCCAAGATTCAGCTTGTCAGCTGTGCATGCCTTCTTGACCAACTGGTTGGCTTGACGAAGATCTTTAACTTTTGCTTTGGTTACGACACTCTGCAGGGTGCCAACCTCAGAAATGATGTCTAACCTTGTGCTGCACAGCCACAACAATCCTCCAAGCACTGAACGGAACTGCGTCAGCTCACTAGGTGTGAGAGCTCGATCATCAGACCCTTCTGGATTCTCTGAGGGCTTGAGCTTCGATGCAAAGGTGGATTGGTCCATCTTCAAACCAGTGGGTGTCTTGCTATATTGACAGCCACAGTGTTGAAATGGCAAATGTTCTCGTGAGATGGAACCGAACTCTTTGCACATCTCCTTGTAGAGCTCCTCCTTGAACTTTGAGCAGCCAACAACAGCTAGATCATCCACATGAGTGGTCATCGCTCCTTGTAGAGGTGTCGAACTGGAAGGATCTTTCCAGAAGTAAAAGCTGTCGTCCAACTTGCTGCTATGACCCTTGTTTCGCTGGAGAAACTGTCCAAGACCCAACTGCCAAGCAACAGGGGCATCATTCAATCCATAGATGGGCTTGTTGCACCGCAAACCATACAGTGGAATCTCCCATGGTTCCAGATGAAATTCTGGATCTGCCGTAGCCAGGTGGCGCCAAACATTCCATGGAGGAATCAAAACCACTGCTCTCGTTGGAGACTTGATGCCTTGCTTCAGCAGTATCTCTCTGATGCGGTCAAAGGTCAATCCTTTGAGGAAGGCTCCACTGACGTCCCAGCTTTCAGGATCTTCACGCATTACGGCGGCAGTTGACAGCAACATTCTCATTCTCTGTGACAATCGTGATGCCGTCGTGGATCGAGTGGCCAGGAAGTCTTTCTGAGGATCGAAACATCCTCTGGCACACATGCGGGATTTGATGATCCGCTGATTGCCCTTCCATTTCCATCTGCGGACCCAGGTGCCATCTATGATCACGGTGTCCGCGGGGACTGATTCCAGAAGAATCTTCACAAAGGCCTTCTCGCTGACGAACTGAGCAATCTCCTTCTCATCTGCAATCTCGACCTCTGGCCAAATTGGCGGAAGGTCCTTTTCAGCAATGCTGTCTTCTGCAGTGACTGATGCATAGCTTCCAACAGCCTGGGCAGAAAGCTCAATGAAGAAAGTCCGATGCTTGCTGCCATACTGATCCACCAACTTGGAGCATTTGGTGCGAAGATTGTATTCGTGCTTGTTCTGGGAATTCTCCATGACCATCTGGAACGTCATTCCAGCGAACCACTTTGGAACCTCATAGTAGTCGGCCCATAGATCCTGAGTGTGCAGTCGATGCTTACGTTGTCTGTCCATGAGCCAATGAAGAGTGTGCAGATTCTGGTAGTTGGTATTGACGATCGTGAAGTTGCCTTCCAATCTGCTTCTCTTTGGCTCCTGCTCAGGAAGTCGGACCGGCGATGCTTTGTCCTCTCTCTTCTGTGGCAGATGTGGACTGACCGATGAAAGCTCATCTTCCAACTCCATGCGTTGAGAAGGTTCTGGTAGTACATGAGGAACACTGGGTAGGCTGTGTGACTCAGCCTTCATCTCTGAAGTAGTCTTGGCTTCATCCTCAATGAAATTGGGGTAGTGGTACAAGTAGATGACGCACAGTGAGTCCCAGTGTGATTCATGGATCTTGTTGAGCTTCATCTGAAGGTCATTGGTCTTGTTCATCTTGACGAAATTTGCTGTGCCTTTCTGCCAGACAAAAACAGCGCCGTAAGTGCCTGGAAAAGGTGTCAAAGTCTTCAGGCCCTGACCATAAACCAGTCCGTGGATCGGATGCTGAGTCCAGCTCTGCCAGTCAGCGAAATCTTTCATCAATTGTTGTTGTTCTTCATTTGGATGTAGTGCAATGCTCTGCCAGTTGATGCCAGATGAAGTCAGGACACGTTTGTAGCCCACAACCATCTGCTTGTATGGCTGAACTTCTTCTGTCATGGTCATCAGCTTGTATAGGCTGGTGCCTGTGTAGGAGTCCACATTGTAGAAGACGCCCTTCGATGGCCTGACAAATCGTAGTGGCATCAGGTAAGGCTTTCCTTGGTGCTTGACAATGGCAGTTCCTTCTTCTTGATCAGCTTCAAGAAGGGTGGCTGGACCTCTCCATGCTGCGTCTCTGTAGATCTCAACGGTGCTGGTGCCTGGAACAAGCTCAGTGGTATCCACTCGATGAGAGCGGTGAAGAGTGGCCCGTGTCAAGCGATCTTCAGCCAGTGACTGCTGGATTGCAGTGAGGGCAATTTGACGAAGCCTTAGTGCAGTTTCGAAGACAGTGGCATCTCGATCTGCTGCTCCAGTGATTGCAGTCATCTGTGGGGTCTCAAACTCATAGAATGCTCTTGGAACCACTCCAAACACTGCCATGCATGGAGAATAGCCTCCATAGGTCAAGCAAAGATTGTGACTCATGCTTGATTCGGTGGCCACATCAGAATCCTCCACCCCTTCTGCATGGTCAGCTTGATCAAAGCAACATGTCTTTCCACTAGACCAGTGCCGGTGTGTTGTCGTCCAGCTTCTCCTGCAGTGGTTCCTTTTGGATTGCGTGTCACTCCAAGGCGTTCAAACTCAATGGCAGCTGTGGATGACATAATGGCGCTCTCTTGATCCGAAGTCAGAACTCTCATAGGACCAAAGATGGAGATCCATCTGTGAAGAAGTCCTTTCAGCAGTTCGCCCGTCTCTCGACTCGGTGTCTCATAGGCGATCTTGTAGCGGGTGGCGACGTCGATCAAGAGAACAAATGGCTTGGACCACAGATAGAAGATGTCCATCTCCACCTCATCTCCAAAATGGGCAGCCAATGAAATCTTGCTCTTCGGTCGTGCAGGTAGTCGTGAGTACTTCCTGCAGATCGTGCAGTTGGCAACTACTTCATGAGCCATTTCTACCACAGCTGGAGGCATGCCTGCTCTCAGCAGCAAGTTCGCCAGATCTGTCGCATTGGCATGCCATAGTCGTTCATGAAGACCAAGCAGCATTCTCTTGGCATTCACAGTGTCCTTGCTTACTTCTTGCGGTAGACGATGAAGGACTCTTTTGATGCTGTAGAGGGGCTTCATGGTGCGCAGTTCTATTGCCTTGGAAGTGCCCACTTCATCATATGGTTGTATTGCCAAAGGTGCAGCGGGTTCTTCTGGTTGAACAGTATCAGCAATAGCAGGTCTCGGTGTGGATGGTGCTGCAGCTGCTGGTGTGCCGGGACCAGGTGTTCCAGGAACCTTCGTCGATGGCGGCACATTGTTGCCGAAGAAGGTGATCATCCAATTCTCTTCATCAATGGCTTCTCGTTGTTGAGCTGGAGAAAGTTCTCTCAGATCCTCAAGAGCATAGAGTTGCCAGCTCTCACAGGTGCCACGACAAATGAGGCGAAGTGGCGCATTCTCTGCTGAGAGGTGTGGTTCTGGAAAAGCCTTGACGAATGGATGTAGTGTCACATGTACTCCATGGACATGCGTGATCTTCTTCAGGCAATGCTTGACGGCCATCAGCAGAGATGGATCGGTCAGCCAGTAGATGTAGTCTTCACCTTTGGCTTCATCAAAGACGGCCAAACTGGATTTGATGATCTCACACATGAGGTACTTGATCCACACTGCCTCCTCCGCAGTGAAGTCAAAGTCCTCGGGGTAGTTGAGCTCAACCTTCTTAGCCAATGCATGAGATTTTGCTGCTCGCTTGAAGTCCTCCAGTGGATTAGCTGCCATGCTTGGTGTCGCTGGTGCTTTGTCTGGGTGTCTGCCATAGCGACATTCTCCAGAAATGAAGGAGTGCTCCATGAATGGTAGGGCAGCTCTTCCCATGGAGCATCGCTCACACTTGTAGAAGATCTCCACATTGGTGAGGGCGTTCAAGCGATTGGGTCGAAAGCTGCCTCGCGGTTGTAGATGGTAGAGGATGTCCTCAATGATCGCCCGGCAGAATCTCACAGGATAGACGGCAGCCATTGCAGTCCGTGAGATTCCTCGGTGTTGTCCTTGAAGTGGTAGATGAGGTACTCCTCGATGACCATTGCAACGCTTGAGACTAGCTCTCAGCTTGAAGTTGGCTTCTAGACCAGTAGCCTTCAGGATCGGTTGCCTGTTCTCTGCACACGCTCCAAAGGCACATTGATCAGTGCGCTTGGCTCGTCGATGGCCCACGAAGGTCTTGTTCTCAGTCATGACGCTTTCAGTCCATAATGCTGAGCTCCATGGGTGTTCCAGCAAGTAGATCTTCTGACGAATGGTCTGCTGGTACATCTTGTCTTGCAGATAGACCAAAGCTGGCCGTTCTGATTCTCGATCTTTCATGAGCTCTTGTCGATCTCTTCTTGATGATGAGATGCTCCAGAACTTACAGCGAGGTGAGCATAGTAGGAAGTCAGGGCAGCACGTCTTAGGCCTGGTCGAGCATCTTCTGATGATCTGGATGTGCAATGTCCCAACCATAGCGGTAGTCCACGGGAAAGCCCATCGTGAGACCAGCGAAGACGCGCAGGAGTGAGAAGCGACCAGAGCCTGAGCATAGTTCCCAACCATGCCACTTGACCTTCTTGCGACGTGCTTCACCAAGCCAGGTGTTGAAGTTCTGTGGTGTGACAACTCTCTTGCCAGATCGAGTGTAGTATTCTTCCGGCATTGCTCTGTAGTCCTTGTGAAGTCGCGTCAGGTCACTGGAAGAGAGATGCGAGGGAAAATCATCTCTTGCATACAGCGGAAGCTTGTCAAAACCAGTGCCAAACACTTCATCAGTTGCTGTCGACATAGGCTCCTCCGATGTGCTGGATGGTGTCATCGCTTTGGTCATTGACTCCTCAGTTGGGCTAGATGATGTTATCGCTGTAGAGATTGCCTCCTCAGATGTGCTATCTAAAGCTTTCTCAAGAGCCTCTGTAATCTCAGCCTCAGGGAAAGTGTCATCTGCCTCTTTTGAATCCGTGAGCTCACTGTCAGCCAAAAGACACCCGTTTTGGAGAATTGGTGTCCTTGATCTTGTGTGGCTCATCGGATCTCCACTTCTGCTTCGGGTCTGCCTCGGTCTGAGTCACTGATTGCCAGAACGTGTAAGCGTGATCTGGCCATTTGGTCTTCGACACGTTGGAGAGATGTCGAATGAAGTGGCAAGCTTCATAGTGTTGACTTGGTACTTCAGCTTGCTCATCCAAAGGAAGGAGGTAGTGACCAGAATCAGTGAGAAGACATCGAAACAGATGCATCTCTGGTTTGACTGAGTTGTTGGTGTCCCAAGTCACCAAGAGGCCATCATTGTTGTCAAAACCATCTGGAGTGGAGTGATGCTCTCATTTCACATAGAGCAGGATTGCCAACCAGAGCCGGGCAGAGCGAGCCTGCATTCTCAATGACATCGGCCGTGTAGGTGGCCTTCATGTCCTTCAGTGGCAGCTGCAAATGAACTCTGCCAAGAGCTTTGTCTGGTTGTCCACTGATGCCGGCGATGGTGGCATCGGAGTCAGACCATGTGATTGCCTCTTCTCGGTGTGCATTGGGATAGCAGTGCTCAATGATGTCTCTCAAAGTCTCACTTCCAACTAGGCCGGCTGCTGCTCCTGGATCAATGAGAAGTCCTCGTCTTTTGTGACCTTGGACGGTGTGGAACACGTCCGCTGAGGTGTGCAATGTTGTCGCAAAGTTCAGGCTTCTCTTGGCTGGATCAGCAGGTGGAGTGCTTGGTGTGGTGACACTCTCTTCCTCAGCAGGGGCTGATCCTCGCCAGGCAAAGAGCTCGCCAACTTGTCGTGGTGGACTCTCTTGCGCAATCGTCTTGCTGGTAGCAATGGATGAGGATGACCTTGTAGGTGAACTCGTTGCAAAGAGTCCATGGTCAGGTTGGCGTCGGTAGGCATAGTAGTCGTCGTAGTAGTAGGGTTTGCCTTTGCCTTTGCTCTTGCCCCTGAAGCCTTTTCTGTTCTTGCCGAAGCCTTTGCTTTTGCCCTTCTTGCCTTTGCCTTTTCCTTGGAATCCTTTGCCATGTGGACCGGAGTGTCCGTGGTTCACTGGGCATTGAGCAGCTCGATGATACTTGGAGCCACAGACAAAGCATCCGTCATTGGTGCCCTGGTAGTACTCCTCGACGGCAGGTGCTTCTTCAGCTTCATCTCCTGCGGCCATGTCATAGTGTTCAGGGCTGTGCCATTCGGAAGCTGTGTCTTGTGCATCATGCCATAGCTCCTCTTCTTCTCCCTCTCTCATCCAGGCGTCATAGCTCCATGCAGAGTCAGCCCAATGGTCGTCGACCCATTGATCATAGTACACGTCCGGGGCGTGCCATCCATCCCATGTCCAAGAATCCCAACTGTCCTGGTAGTAGTCTTCATAGGTGGTGTTGTCGACCATGAGGCATAGAGATTGGTGGAAAGCTGTTGATCTCCTCTGCTGCTGATGCGAAGAGAGAGTCGTCGGGCCTCATCGAACCTGCTCATATCTCCATGGATCTGCATCTTCACATCCGCAACGAACTTCACAAGCAGTCCGCTGTTGCGGAAGAAGAGGTAGGTCTTGGCGACGTTGTTGAGCTCCAAGCCTGCACGGACTTGAGCCTCTTCCAGACGAAGCTCCCATTCTGCCGCATAGTCCTGAAGCGACATCTTTCCTCTTCGAAGCTCAAAGAAAGCTTCCAGGGCGGTGGTCGTCATCTCTTGGTCGGACTGACCAAATGCGGCACGAAGAGCTGTCGCCAAGGCGGAGATGCCGCTCTGGATGTGATGCTGCAAGATGACATTTGGATCCATGGGATCACGGACTTCGTCAACTGACAGTCGGACTAAAGCGCTGTCGCCAATGTCATAGTTGCCGTCGGGGCGGATGAGACGAAGGCTCAAAGCTATCTTTTGAGCTCTTCCTCGAAGGCGTCCAGCTACCAATGGTCCGACTGATTCGTCAGGTCCGTCATAGATCCTATACCAGAGCTTCAGCTTGTCAAAATAGTGACGAAGGGGATAATCTGGTATCCCAGGAGCCCATCCGGGCGGACAGTCCTTGCGATACTCTTGCAATGGGACTCCTGTCGACGGCAAGGTCGCCATCGATGCTGAAGGACAGGCAAAGGTCCTGTACTGCTCCGATTTCAGGGTCGTGTAGTAGTGCAACTGGTGGGTGTCCTGCAAGGCAAGCGTCTTGCGATCGAGCTCGAACCTCACAGTCTTCTTGACCTGAATCGGGTAGCGCAGGGCTCTCTGGATCACGTGGTGGTCTACCGTCAGCTGGTAGAAGTGAAAGCAAGTGCACGCCACAAGCCTGATGAAACGGATGCCAGGAAGCAGAGTCGTGGTGTTCCTGGTCTTACAGCTCGTTCTCGAAGGTGGCCTGAGGTCGAGGTCAGGCAGCGCGGCAGCCACCGCGCAGAACAGCCTATGGCGCGCGGGAGCCCTGCGTGGTGCAGGGCTCCGCTACCAAACTCGCACGAAACCTTTCTCGCGGCGGCTCTAGGGATCCCTGGTGATTTGAGGGTGAAAGTAACGGACGGCGGTCGACCTTCATGCCATGTGCTCATGAAATTTCAACTCCAACAATCTTCTCGTCCGTGCAAACAGTGCTGTGCAAGCAAAGTCTGTGTGTTAACTTTGTTTGTCAGGGCGTTGCCGTGGCTTTTCATTTGCAAAGGCAACTCTTTTAGTTTATTGGTGAAGAAAACACCGTTCTCTTGCTGGCAAAACAGCATATCCCAACCCACGACCCCGCAATGCTGCATTTGCTTCAAGGAGACTATAGACACCTGTGCATGGATCTATGTTGATACGCAAGATTCCGCAAACGAAAAGACACTTGGAAGATCGCCCTTGTAACCTGCTTTTTCAAGCTCGTGAGTGATGTGGCAAACAAGACGATAAGCTCTACCTGCTCAAAGCAAGAGCCAGCACCTTGATCACGTCTTTGTGCAAGCAAGCAGCTCGCAGAAATAGACTGCTTGCGTAGCGTAGTCGAACAGGCCGCCATGGGGTATTCTATATCCTGAGACATTGGCGAACAGGCGAGTCGGTTGAAAATTCAGGATCCAAGGATCCGCCCGGAGTGACTCCCATGCGAAGAGATTGTCCAAAGAGACACAAGAGTCACAAGAGGCATGAGAAGAGATGACACGTGCGTTTCCTGGAGAACGAGCTTGGACCTAGAGTGGTACTGAAGAGAGGCTCTATCACTGGGCCCCATTGACAGGACGTAAATCCAAGCTTCGGGGACCTGGACTGGAGCGCAATTCACGCATCAGGTAGTCGTGGTAGACCTGAACCAGCACTCCCAGCATGCTATTTCAGCTTCGATGTCGGTTTTGTAAAGGTGATTTCTACGGGGAGTTTGAGACTTCTCTTGCCTATGAACTGACCTTCGATCCCTGCATGCAGCAATATAAGCAAACAATGGTTGACTGTAAAGAGGCTACTTCATTAAGCATCAGAAAGCTTGTGCCTCATATGATGGCGATCAGTCCTACGGACGGCGATTTGGGGGCTGTTGTGCTGATTGTTGGTTATTTGGAGGTTGACGCGACTGAGCTATGGAGATGTAGAGTCGTAGAGGGATGCGAAGAAGTTGCCAGACCAGGCCCGCCCTTGAGATGTTGTGCGCAACCTCCGCACTTGAAACATGAAACCTGACACCCTTCAACAATAAAGAAAAGGGACCAGTCAAAGGTTGAGAACCAGCTCTTGTCAATCTTCGTCTGCCTGAACTTGGCATCATGTGAGAGTGGCTGCCATACCCCATGGCTGGTGCTCCTTGCACCTCAAAATCCATCAAAATCCCAAAGATGAACAAAGTGAGGTCCCGAGTCTATGGGTCTCAACTTGTGATTTCATTGGTGTGGATGAGCATAGCTTAGAACTGTACCGCGAGTGCATGAAATGCTTTATGCCTCATTGAGAATGGCGGCCCCTATGATTTGGCGCAGGCGCCAATGCGATAAAGCCAGAGAAGTAGAGGAGGAGGCCCAGAAGGAAGCCTGGGGTGGTGAAACTGATCTGGCAACCTTTAAACCACATTCGATGAACTGGTTCTGCATCACTTCAGAGGAAATGCCGTAACAATCCTTTTTTGGAAACAAACACGCTTTGTCGTACATGCCGCATATGCCTCTTCAAAGGTCAAACCATTTACAGTAAAACTCTGCAAAGCTGAAGGATTGCCTGTGCTTAATTCATTGAAGCCAAAACAGACTTGCAGGAATAAAGAGCGAGGGGAACGAGGAAGCTTGCACAAAAGATTAGGGGCAGCTGCAAAGAGAGCCCTAGTGAAATCAAATCCCAAAAGTAATATATTATCCGATAGCTGATAGTGCACATTTGTCCGGGGAAAGGCACATTATGGCCAAAACAGCCAGCACACCAGGAGCAACGATGAAGGTCCTTTTCCATTCTTTCCAGGCAAACCAATACAACAAAATCGCAATGCATCCACATCAGAGCTGAGACACGCACATCCGAGAGCCATTTCTTTCCTCAAACGAGCAGTTAAAGGTTTTGCGTTTGGAATTGACCGGGAAGCTTGCCAGCTTATGGGTGGCACTTCCCAGCTTATGGTGGCACTCTGCAAAAAACGGGTAACATGACAAAAGAAGGCAATGTGAATCAACTCCGCCAAAGCGAGTAACAGGATGTCTTGCTACTCCAAGAAGACAAAACTAAGTTTTGTGATGCTCCAAAACAAACTTGGGGTGGTCACTTTGTCTACATCAGATCGGGCGCAGGGACACCAGAACACAGTACAAAGTAGCTAGTACCTCTCTAGTGGTTTTCTGGGGCAAACGACCTTGTCATAGAGCTTCTCAAATGCTTCACGCACCACCTGGATTTGCTAATTACTGTTTACTCCCTCAGAACCTTGCGGGCCGCTCGAGCAGCTAGCAGCTAGCCCAAACAGTCATCAATCTCATTACACACAAAACATTCAGCACGGACGAACCTACCAGGAAAGACAAAAAAGCAGTGCATGAGCTGCAGGGGACCTGTGTGAGACCTGAGATGCATCAACCACTGCCAAACTTTGGTCCTCTTCAGCAAAAGCCTCTGCCCAAATGAAGCCCGAACTCTGCAAACCACCTGCATTGGAGGGGTGGTTAAAGCAGTCGGGTTTTCTTCCAACGCAAATTCGCCACTCGATTCTCAAAGGCTCACTGGCCTGACCTTTCCTGCCTAAACGCAAACTTGAAACCAAAACACAACCACTTAGATCTGGAGTCATGTTGGCAAACTCAGTTATATAATTAGGTGACGGGATACCACTGATCTGGGCCATTACAAAAGCAGTGAACCAACCTGAACCTCCCTGATCTAGCTGCGCATTAGCTGGTTCAGCAACTTTTTTGTGGATCTTGGTGCGAGTAGCTCAGTGTGGATTTGTTTTCCGGTGATTGTCGGCTGGTGGTGAAGGCACATGGTTTCCGAGAGACACCCAATACACTCATGCAAATCGATTGCAATGAGCAGTGTGCACAAACAAAAACATGACACAAAGGCTTGTAATTGGATCACAAGGCTGCACAAACAGCTACGACAGTTGTTCCGGTATAGAGAAATGAGAGTCATCTTTTTCACTTAAATAGAGCTCCCCCTCTCTCTCTCTCTCTCGCTCTGTATTCTTTTTAACGTTGACCCTGGTCGGTATCCCGTCGATTGGTGGCCTCCCATTGAGGTATCCATGTGTGATGGTCACCAGCCAGCCACCCAGCGCCGGCATCAGCGAGAAGTTGCTGCGAGCACCCGGGTGCGGTCCTAAATTGTCACAGAACAACTGTGAGAAAACGATTGGGTCATGGAAACATGACACACATGAAGGGAGTCATTTGGTAAATGCCTCGGTTTCAATATGGTACAAAAACGTTGAATATCGCTAAATGATATAACGGGATTCTTTTGCGTGAGAACATCGCAGCCACCAGTTGTGATGATCAGCAAGTCTGGTGACTGTATGCACTAGAAGTAACGCGCCCAATACAAGTCCCAAGCAAGACGACCCCTCAAACATCAAGCGTGACACCAAGCTCGCAATCAACTGATTTGGGGATGATAGGTTTTGTGCTGTTGTGCCGAGGAAAGCACACTTGAATCATTTCAAACACCTCGGTTTTCAGATCCCAATTCAACTGCAAAGCAACGGAGCAAGTAAGGATAGATCCAGCCACGGTAGCTGTAGTGCAAACACATAACCTCGCGCACTGGTCTCTGACGAGGAATCAAATAAATGAAGGGAGGTGTTGCTTCTTGTGCAAAGAGAATTTGTGTACCAACAAAAACGGACTTGGTTTGCAAACTGTCAGCTTTCTCATGGTCTGTTGCATCCTTTCTCATACTTGAGGTCTGCGAAGTGTTGCCAGCAGTCTCCAATGCCTGCCTACTTATACTTATTCTACGTTGCCACCCGCACAACCACCAAGCGTACCAAGTTGGTAGTAGAGCAATTTAGTGACGGCTGCGTTTTGCAACAGCTTCTCTGCCCAATGCCCATATTAAGCAAGGAACTGCTGCACAAATGCGTGGCGCCAGGGCTTGTTTTTGAGGCCCTGGAAGGTAGAAGAAGGAGTAGAGGAAGGAGATGGTGACAGGTAACTCCTCGAAACAAACTAGCGCAAAACCGCACCTGCTCAACCTGCGCGTAAGCTTAATCAAGATTCCATACAAGCCTCCACCCTTAGGAACACAGAATTGGAAGTTGGGATTCGGGAAGGAGGCTCAGATTAAAATATCTGGGCCCTCTTTTGACATGTGCAATTTTGAGCCCAGGATCCATCAGCCACCAACCAACTCGAGGGGGTACAGAGAAGAGGCTCTCGTTGCCGAATTTGCCTGCAAGCACGGGGCCAAACAAACTGTAGTACTGTTAAAATGCACAAACACATGTTTATGTCACATATCCCTACATACAATATTCTGTGCACGCGACCCGGTGTTGCAGGGCTTCCTTCATCAACAGTGGTTGGTGGTTCGCTCAGCAGTGCAAAAACTCAATGGGGTATTCCTGGTGGGTCTAGACCTGTGCAGTACTCACCGCCTCCACTCTTTCACAAATGTGCAACACCTTGCGTGACAACATCTTTCTGGGAATGGTATTCCTCCATCGATATTCACCATCAATATGATAGTCAAATACAATGCACCGTTTGCAATAACAATGGGCCTCGTGGATCTCCCATGAACTCCGAGCCAGGTTGCCATAGGCTGTGCTGGAAGAGCACTCTGCCAAGCCGGTGATCAGCACCAGCAACGCTGCCCAGGTGCAAAGGAGATTGAAATCTTGGAGCAGCACTTTGGGATCCGAGGCTGTACGATGTTGACGTTGAAAACTGTTTCCAACAAAATGACACGCTCAGCTGTAGAAAACCATGTTTCCACTTGGTCTTTGACGGCAAGAACAAAGTTAGTTATACTTCCCTCGATATTTCTAGACACATCTAGACACTATCCCACAAATGTCCTCCTTCATCACTGACCTCACTTGATATCACTTGCTTGCGGAACCTCTTAGCGCTTCTGTATCAGCAGTACCTTCAAAAACACACATAGCCATAGCTTGTCCAAATAAAACGATAGCAGCGTCGGCGGCGGATGCAACTGCGGTGCTGGTGGATGGACTGATGCGAACCAGTGCCAAATGCCGCCACCTGGGGCGGTCATGTTTGGAATGCCAAACCCGTGGCTCGTGAGAATAGAGAGGGGTCACAGTTGTCTACAAAAAACCTCAGAAAACATGTAAGCTTTGATATTGGGAATCTGCAGAATCATTTTGGGGGCAGGAGTCTATTAGCACAGTGACTCAGCTTGGATCATCATAAGATTCTGAAGGTGAGGACTCCTGTTCACCGCTTGTTATGGACACGTTGTTGGAACACTAGCTTTATTCCGCAAGTCATTCCCTCTTGGGCCATTTCAATATCACTTCGCCTCCGATCAACTCATCCCACCATCTTTCCTTATCGCGTGTCATCTCCCACCATTTCTCTCCTCTCTTTCTTTTGCCCCTCTCCTTCTCTCGCGTTTCTGCCCGCCTCTCCGCCTCTAGCTTTGCCTCTGGCGCCTCATCTTGCGCAGCACTTCTCCGCCGCATGAAACTTCACCCCAATGGGCAACACGGGCGCAATGCGCACAATGTGTAACGCTGGACAATGCTTTTGGGCGGTGACATGGTGGTGTGGTGAAGTCAAGTTCTTTTTGTTTTTGTGTCCAAACAGAGACAACATCGTGCATGAAAAAATCGGTGCGGACCAAAAATGAGAGTGCAGGTGTAGACTTGTTCATATTGAGTTCTATCTAAACCAAATGGCATCTCTGAGGCGTTCGGTGATAGGGAGTGGTGCCAAACAAAGTTGAAATTAATCTGTGTTGCTAGTAGAAGCTGAGTTGTTCTGGGCCCACAGTTGGCTGCAAGCCAAACAGCTAAAGCGACAGTTGATCTTATCCTTTCAATGCCTTTCACATCTGAACGACTTAGTCTTCCTCGGGCTGGCCATGTCTTGCATGTCTCCAAGCTCCAAATGATAAAGAATGGGAAGAATCTGATGTTATCTGTTTGGGTCTGATAGATATCTACTAGGTCTCGCTACTAAATGCTACTACCAGTAGAGCCATTAAGACACACTAACCAGTTCTCGAAGTTGGCGCTCACCTGACTTAAGGTCCTCTGCAAGAGGTGAAATCAAGTGAGACTCTTTCGTGTGGAATTTGTGCTTCACAAGTAAGCCAAGGGGCTAAATGGGCTGTTTAGGGCTTCAGTCTCCAATCCGGAAAGATTTTTCTTGCCCGTAAGTGCTGATACGTTAGTATGTGCCTCTGACCCTATCTCAGAAGCTGATCCCAAGAGACGCCCAAACATCTCAGAGTTTAGTAGGGGGCTCTCAAAGGTTTTGTGCGTGCGTGTGAGAGAGAGTGTGTGTCATGCCTACGACAGTGAGCTGATCCATGAGCTGTTGCACCCTCCAACCTTCGAATGACTTTCGCTCGTAAACTCTAGACATCGGTGGAATCCGATCAGCCCAAACAGGCAAGAATCAAACATATGGAAAAACCACACGTGCCTACCCTGGGCAAAGGAAAAGAAAGGTCCAAAGGATTCCAAAGGTACAAAAAAGGAAAACATGGGACAATGATGGAACATGCCACCCTGACAATTCGACATTCCTCTGGAAGTCCAAACACCAGGCGGTCCAGGCGATGTGCGTGCTTTATCTTTTCACGAAGGCCTCCGCCAAGTGCGGGCAACAACATGGAGGATGAAAGCACATGAAAGGCCATTGAAGTTGAAGCGTGAATTTCCTTTACATCAACCTGCTCTCGGCTACGTGGAGTCATCAGGGCTCCGAGAACATGCAAGGCGTTTCCAACTCAATGGCAGTTTTCAATCAACAGCACTTTACTTCAGGCATCTGCTAAGGAAGTAGGCGACAGGAAACTACCATCTGGTGACAGCTATTGCAGTTGAGGTGTGCTGGTGGAGGAACCAAGGCACAACTCTTTGGTTTGAGCCGAGGTTAATGATCAGTTAGGACTGCCCCAAGTCAGCCTTCAGAAACTGATTTGCACTCTGTTTGGCAGGTTCACACTCTCCAAGAACCGGTCGAAATCATGCCCAAGCGGAGACTGGTGCTCTCCAAGCTATAGCTGCCATCAAAACCCAGCACAGAAATGTTGATCATCGCTGGCCTACAAACCCATTGCATCTTCGCATCAATGGGCTACCAATTTCTGGTCATGAACACGTCGCCTGTGTAATTTCCATACACCGGGAGAACTTACTCAAAAGATTCTGTGACACTCAGCTACTTCATTCGTCTGTAACTCAGAAGTGTATCTAATCATGATCGGTCTGTCAATCAAAGAACCATCAAAGAGATCAAAAACTAGTTCCTCTCAACCATGTCTTGAAATTCATTCTATTCCGGGACGTCTATGGCATACACCTCGGTGGTTTCATCGATCAGCCATCCGTTGAAACTTTCGATCGCCTCGCCAAGCTCCGGATCTTACTGGCCATGCGGTTTCTTGCCTCGTCGGCCTCCGAATCAAAACGACAAGAACCAATGGGATCATGATGGACCAGAATTGCGGTAAATGATGCGTTTCTTAGATCGTTGACATGAATAAACCTTCGAACACTCCCTTTTGTTGCAACTCGTCCCTGCATCTTGCATTGAAGCTATGGCATCTCATATATAGCAACATGAGTAAGTCAGATCCAAAAGCAGTTCTCGTGTTCTTTTCTTCCCGAGTTGGAGTCTCGGGAGTGATGATGTGTCGGTTGAGTAGATACAGGAAGGAGACACCCAAATTTGACGATTTTCTTAGCCATAATTTGCAACCAAAATAGATCCGTTTGGCCACCATTGATAACAAGTTGGGATTCCAAACCATTCTTGAGACCTCAACATATGCGCACCACACATGGCATGTGTTGTTGCCGACCCACATGACTTCTAAAGAAATGTAGTAGAGGACGAAGTGCAGCAGGGTAAAACAAGTAGAGAACAACCACAAATACCTATTTGACTTGTTGTGAGGTTGTGCAAGACCATCGCCACACGTTTGGATTTTCTCAAATTACCGCCTACAGTGTTGCATCCACACGGATTGCGACACCCTTTTAAAGGGCCCGTTCCGCCAGAAGGCCAACAAATGGTTCCACTTCAAGCCAATCCAACATCAAATTCTCATCTACACTTTGGGTTTCCGTGCCTGCGCCTGCGTAATGTCCTTGGGATTTTCCCCTCGGCTCAACGCTTCTGCGAAGAGCCTCAGTGATGGTGCTGAGTTGTTCCTGTCTCTGAAAGTGCATGGAGGTACCTTTGCGAGCAGTAGCAGTAGCAGCAGCAGGAGTCGTGGTGGTAGTGGTAGTGGTAGTGGTAGTGGTAGTGGTAGTCGTAGTCGTAGTCGTAGTAGTAGTAGTAGTAGTCGTAAAAGAACATGTTAGTTCTGGATGGTG